ACCAGACCAGTCCCAGGAGGAACTCCCTCCCTTTCCCTCTGACAAGCGCACTAACCAGTCTTCCGTCCAGTTCCGCAACATACAAACTGATCATCGTCCTCAACACCAAAAACACACTGTGTCCGATCAAGAGCCTGAACTCTTTGCTCTTCCACCCAGGTATACATATCTTCAACAACCTCAGCAGATTCTTGAAGAACTCCCTATTCAGCTCTACCTTCTTCCTCCCCGTTGCTTCACCCTCGCCTGCTGTTGTCTTATCCGCTGTTTTGGAGGCACGCCGTATGGAAGCGGCCTTTTGCTCGGCGATCGCATTCCGTATGCGGTTTATGAGGGCGACGAAGAGGGTGAGGTAGACGGCGCGTGATATGCGTGTTCGGTGCTGGAGGTACAGGCGTGTGAGGTCGTTGACTATGGCTTTAGCAGACGCGCTGGTGAGGCGATGGGAAGAGAGCGGTTTCGAAAAGACAGCCATGGCTATCGTGGACGAGGCATTGGTCTTATGCGAGAGATCGACGCTGTGCGGAGAGCGTGGCGTAGCGGTTTGTGATGCTCAGTACATACGCAGTGGTGTGGAACGTGTAGTCTCGTAGTTTAGCTGGTCACATGTGCCGTTGCGACAGGCTTCCAGAGTGTAGTATGGCGCGCGCCGGCTGTGATGTTTGGTAGATCAGCACGTCGCAGAAGGTGTCGCTGTGCAAGCCTCACCTGCGACATGTGAACGAATGCCTCGGCTTCCCCACAAATCGACTAACCGCATTGGGACTTAAGCTGGGGAAAGCTCCAGGGCTTTCACATGAACAAATGGAGCACATGCAATTACAATGATGGACTGGGTTTTGCAGCTTATTCTGTATGCTACGAAACGAAACATCGACTTTAGTGGCTTGTTCTTCAAACACAGAGCCTTCATTGAATGAGATCTGATGATCCGCAATTTTCCTAGCTAATGTACAAAACCCTTGCTTCGAAAGCCCTTTGCAAACCTTGCATCACTCGTAGAGCACCTACTTCGTATCCTTGAAATCGCCCGTATGCTTCTTCGCTGTCTTCTCCGCTCCATACTCTGGAGCCACCTTTCCCGGTAGACCCTTGACGAATCCACCGATGTCCAACCCCTTCATCTTTTGCTGCGTGACCTGCATCCAGCTTTGCTCTTGCTTCTTCTCGACAGCCTGCTCCAGTTCTTCTTTCTCTTTCTCCTCGTTACCTTCCCCCTTGCTACCTTCATTCTTCGCCCTCTCTTCTTCTTCCTTCTTCTTCTCCTTTGCTAGATCAGCCTCTGCACGCTCGACTTCTTCGATGTCGACGTCTTCAAAGCCGATCTTGCGAAGTATCGAACCTGTGATGAAGCGGTATTGGAGGTGACCGTCCACTATGTCGCTGACGTCAACGTTCTGAACGCCATGTACGCCGACGACGGGCTGCAGACCCGCGACGCCAAGTTGCATAGAGGATGTGCGGTAGAGGAAGCCAAGGATGTAGTCGGACTTGGAGAAGACGTTGACACAACGGCCACTCACTACGGAACGAATACGCCGCCAATCGGCAACGTCGGAAGGGCATGGAGCGCCGACAAGGACGACGTTCTCGACAAGTCCAAAAGCTTTGCGCTCAGCCAGCTTCTCAAGGCAGGAAAAGATCAGGCGTGCGCCGAGAGAGTAGCCAACAAGAGTGACCGGTCGTTCGCCTTGGACTTTATTGATCAGTGCATCTGCGAGGACCTCACCGGCCTTCTCTGCGCGATATTTGGCTTTCGAAAACGGGTTGTCCAGCAAAGTCGCAATCTTCAGCAAGCCCAGTGGCCACATTGCAGCCGTCATCGCAGCGAAGACAGTCTGCTCGATGATCTTCTTCTTTGCGTAACCCCAAGCAGCACTAGTCACGAATGTCTCGAGACTGTGTCCGAGCTTGAGAAGGGCTTCAAGCTCCCAACGAAGTGCGAAGCCTTCTGTCCCTGTACTGATGTATCTCCATGGCTTTGACACCTCTTCAGGGTCGCGGAGCCAACCAGAGACGGCGATCGCGACACGTAGGCGACGAGACTCGTTGTCCTGTTTCCGCGGATCCTGATTACGATGAATGGGGATGAACGCGAAGTCCTCGACTTGTCGGGCGTAGTCGTCCATGGCTCGTCCTGTCATCTTCGCACCATACGCACCAAAAAGCCCTCCCACAAGAACAGAAGAACCAGCAAGAGTACCCAGATACCCTGCAGCTGCAGTAGCACCCAGGCCGATTCCACCCATAACACTTCCAACGCCCGCCGCAAGAAGCGGTGCAGCAAGCCCACCGGTCACACCGATTAATGCGGCACCAGCAACACCAGCAAGGCCGACTTTCCATCTACGAGCATTCTGCGATTTCTCGGCCGCTTCCTTGGTCTCAGCATCAGCATTCAGTTGCTGGGACGCTGCCTCTAGAAGCCCTTGGGCAACCGTCTCTTCATCTTTCTTCAGGACGGCTCTACTCAGCCCGAGAGAACTCGTGAGGTAGAGATTCAGGACGCGAGAATGTGCCGAGTAGTGCTCCAGACTCAGAAGTATAAGGACTAGTGAATGTAGTATAAGTGCTCGCTTACTCTCTTCCAATTTAGTGAGAGCATTGGGAACAGGTGGATAGAGTTCGTTGAACATCCTGTCCTCGTCTTCATCCTTCTCATCGAGCTTCTTAATACTCTTTAAACTTGTCTCGGATTTCTTCGTGATTTGTTTGATTTCCTTGCCTTCGACTTGTCGTGTCTGCTCTTTGGCTTTTTTTTTCGAATTGACTACCTCGCCGATTCTGCTGATGACGCTACCTCGCCAACCATCAAAGTACTTCAACATCTCCTGCTTCAGCTCTTGCACTTCAGGCTGTGCGAGCTCTTTCTTCGCATCTTCTTCACGTGCCTGCCTCTCTTTCTTGATCTTGTCTTCCTTGGCAACATCGACATCGTCGAGGTTGGACGGCGCGTCTTGCAGTATGTCTTCCTCTGATTTGGCGGTCTTTGAGTCGATTGGAAATTCCTCGGCGGTATAGGTATCGACCAGGGATTGTCGCATAGATGCTGTGATAGTTGCAATCAAGAAGGTCAGATCCGCGCATTGGTCTGCGTCGAGAAGCGTGGTGAGCGAGGTTTCGTCCTTGTCCTCAGACTTGGAATGACCCAAGGAGGTCAACTTAGACGCCCAACCCGACATGTTTGTGGGAAACAAGGCTTTGAAGTTGGTGTTGTGGTTGTGCAGTGGTGCACCTACATGAACTTAGCAGGGCAAGTTGTCGCTGCTTCCAAGGTTGAGTATGACGTATAGTGGGGCAGGAGCTGCGAACGGTCCAGTGTCATACTAACGTCGAAGATCAGCCGAACTTCCGCTGTCCGAACTAGAGTTCCCTTGCATTACAGGCTGCTCTAGATGACCTATGTAAACATCACCTGATAGAGAAGAGCAAACCGCTCATGCGCTGCAACACCGTAAATGTGATACACACTCACATGTAACGTTCACTATCCACTAGTTTCCAATGTAACTACCATCTTACGAACCTACTCTACCGGTGGGTATCGGCGGCGCATTCCTTCCTCCCACTGGAAAGTTCCTTGCACTCAAAAACACGCCCTTGACAGCCCTGATGTCGTTCTTCAGCACCTCAATCTGATCATTCTGTGCAGTGCCACTCTGACCAGACCAGTTATAGGTCGCTCCATAGCGGCCCATGCCAGGGTAGTATTGGTTTTGGTAGTCCATCTCGGTCAGATATGAAGTCAAATCTGACACCTTCGTCCGCAATCCATCCCTTGATTTGCCGTCGTTGGTACGGTTCGTGTCTAGCTCTTCAAGGTGTGATTTTATGATCTTGAGGCGGTTTTCGTGCGCTGTTACGGTGGGGTGTGGGTCTGTAGAGGTAGACGGTCGGCGGGAGAGGTTGGGTGTGGTTTGGGTGCCGTAGTCGCGATGGTAAAGCTCGGTAGGATCTGAGTCTGCCTCTGAGACGTCATCTGCAGCATCGATAACCGCCTTTACTTTGCTAGCAGGATCCACGGATACTGCCTTCTCCAGTCTTGAGTTCAGCTCCTTCAACTGTTCGTGCGTATGCGATGCGAAATCTTGTCTTGATTCGGCGAGGGTGTGTGTCATGGGCGCAATGATCCACCTTGAAAGCCCGTATATGCTCGCCATCAAGCCTCCCGTTACGTATGCGGTTGTTACGAGGCGCTGAGTGGTTATGAGTGGTGGTGGCTTTTCGGTGTTCGCGAGGAACTCTGGGTAGGTGACGATCGGGGGTATTTCGCGGGGCTGAATGATGACTTCGCGAGGCTGAGATGTGACTTCGGGTGCCTCGGTCGGCTTTGGCGGTGTCTGTACGCGTCAGTATCTCTCTTCTGTGATACTGTCGATGGCCTAGGCTTCAAGCGCTTAAACAGTAGGGTTTCTGCACTCACTTCTGACCACGCCCGTTCTCCCACTGCTTCAAGCTCTGTATGCATGCTCTCTTGTGGCTCTTGGCCTAGCAGAGTCTCGATGTCCTCAGGGCGCACACCCTTTGACTGCAGGAACGCGACCTTCTTCTCTCGCGGCGCATCGCGGATTGTGTCATCCTCGAGGAAGCGCGACGCTTGATCTAGTAGTTCCGAGCTTTCTAATGGTTGCTCTTCCTTATCATCTTTCTCAACGTCGTCTTCGGTTGGTGTCGGGGCTTCGACAGCGTGTTGCGCGCGTGCTTCTTCGGGCTCGGATGACGCTGCGGCGTTATCGGCGGAGGTACGTTGCCATTCGGGTATCGCGGGCTTGTTGGCCATGTTATATGAATTGCGGGATCGCTTTGAAATGGTATGAGATGTTGTGGACGCGAGATGAAGGCAGGGGCGGTATTGAGCGTGATGATGGGTCGCTCGGGAAAGATGGCTGGACCGAGGCAAGAGCCCCAGATCCCGCCTTTCCTCTTTCGTCACGCATTGAGCATCGCCATCTTTTGAACACTCGAATCACCTCTTGATCTGCTATCTTATATTTACATTTCTAGAAACCCGTCTCAGTGTTTCCCTCGCCCATACTCTTGCTGCCCGAGCTGCCACTCTGGATCGCTCCCAAAATGCCATCAATGTAGCCTGCGCCAGACCATTTCTGGTGTGTGAGCACATCGCAACCCAGCTCCTTCTCCCTTGCTTGTACCAGCTTGACGTACGCAAGCATACCCTCATCCTTGAATGCCCTGCTTAATTCGCAGGTAATCGTGGCAGTGGAGTGTACTCCGGCAAGCGAGATGAGCTGGAAGACGAATCCGTGTTTCGCCAGATCCCACACAAATGACTTGAGCGCTTCTTCGGAGAAGCCTTGGCCCATCCAGTTGAAGCTGGGGGAGAGGTTGTACACGAACTTCTTGTCGGGGTGAACGGCGCGAATCTCGCCGGCGAACTTGGCTGCTTCTTGCACATTCGGATCGCCCGTCTCGACCCAGAGAAGATCTGCGTACGGAGCGTATTCTTTACCGCGTTTGGTCGCGGCAGCGACGCCGGCTTTGTAGTGGTAGAAACCCTCACGTGTACGGGGGATATCCCAGTTGAAATACACGGGCGTTTTGGTGTACTTCTCTGCGACTTTCCGGCGTTTGAGAAGAGAGTAGTCCGGGTTCTGCTTGGTCTCATTGAGGTATGAATCGATGGTTGATTGAGATGCACTCTCTTTCTCGAGGTGCTGAACCACAGCCTCGTCGAAGGTTACAAGCTTGTGTTTCTTCACCCACGCAGCCTCGTATTGGTCGATTTCTTTGCCTGGTGCGCCAGCTGCCTCCATGTTCTGCAGTGTTTCGGCCAGGGGCTCGGAGTCTTCTGTGACGCCCTTGATGAACTCGTGATCTCGCACATCGACCGCACTGGAGATGAGCTTGCCGCTCTCCGAATCAGTGCGCGCAATGACAAGGTTCTCGCAGCCCATCATATCCCATTGAAATCGTGCGGCTACCAGGCGGTTGATGTGGTCGCCGACCGGTACGAGCACCTTGCCTGCAAGATGTCCGCATTTCTTTCCGCCGTGGAGTTGATCTTCGAAATGAACACCTGCGGCTCCGTTCTCAGCGAACAGCTTTGCCAGCTTGATGACTGCAGACAGACCCCCGTGACTGTAACATGTTAGTTCTTGGATACGTGCTTTGCGAGTCATCTAAACGTACCCAGTGTCACCATCAGCAATGATTGGCCTCATGTAGTCCAAGTAAGGTGTCTTTGCGCGCTCGTCCGCACTCATCTTCCTCCTTGCATCCCAGTTCTTGCGGTCGTGTAGTTGCTGAGCCTTGAACAGCCGCTGGACTTGGTTCGGTACGGTATTATATGGGTAGTCGCCAAAATCGGCGGAGACTTCGTTCGTGGAGGTCAAGACGGAGGAGCATGCCCATCCGGAAACGTAGAGGACTTCTTGGTTTGCAGCTTGTTGAGACATTTGGATGGGGTCAATCGCGCCCACTGGAGTTTGAGAACACATGATCAGCCATTGTACTATCTATGCAGGCTAGGATAAACGCACTGGTGTGTACTGGTTCGCCCTTGGCTGCCCTCTCTTCAAGAAGGTTGAATAGCTTCCGTGCCATTAACGAGCTGGAATATGACTGCTGGAGCGCCCCCCGCTTGCTCACGACATCTTCCGCAGAGTAGGGGCGCTTGATGCCCTTATACCGCGGTGACGCCCACCAGTCCCTGACGGCTTGTACCTGCTCCTCGAAGAGCGCATCCTCCGCCTGGCCCGCTTTCGAAGCTTCGGGGAGCAGCTGGAAGGAATCGCCAGGGAGCGCTGACGATACGGGAGGGTCTACATTCTTGAGTGTCGAGCTCGACATGCGAATTGCCGTGGTGGAAAGTGGGCGTAGGAGTTGTGGTGTTCGGCTTGCTATCCTCGACGATCGGCTCTGGCGCGCGATGGAGCGCGATACTGTGCGTAGCATTGTGGAGGTGTATGTGTGGATGAGACTCCAGCCAGCAGAATCTCTCTGTATACCTTAGTAGGCTGGAGGCGTGGAGTCAGTTGGTAATCAGGCACGGAAAAGTATCCGTAAATCGCAGGGGATCAGGTGACGACGTTCGCCACAGACGCCTTTTTCAGTTTTGACCCAATTCTTCTTCGCGCAGGCAGATAGCGATGGGTCGCATGAAAAAGTGCGTCCGGCGTCGTGTTTGCGGTAACGTTTCTCCAGGGATGCGCGTGGCCGACGTCACTACCGAGGTATGTAGCCCACGTCTAGCCGTCCAGCTGCCCCTCGGTCCATCATTCGACGCTGCACTCGCATCAACGGACCACACGTGCCTGGCGCATCGTAGCTGCATTACCGAGAGTTGCCGTCAACATTTCTCTGCTAGTTGCTCGTGAAGTTTGTAACGCTATCATTGTGTTCTTGTGTTCTGCATTCCGTGTGTTATAGAGTGATACTCCCATCCCCCCGCATCTACCCCACGTAAAGCTAGCTATGGCATTGAGTGCACGATCAGCTTCCCGAGCTCTACGGGCCGCCAAGGTGAGCTTCAAAAGCTATGCGACAGCATATACAAGACATTGAGAGTTGACAAACGCTTTATAGGCGCGTCCTTTTGCTTCTGGTATGCCATTGGGTCACCCACTTCAACCGTCATCGTCCTAACGCGTTGATCGCTGCAGTCCAAGCATGTAGCTACTCTTCCTCCTCAGAGCCGGATCTCAAGGAGACATTCAAAAAGGTCCTGCCTGCGAAGCGCGAGCTTCTGAAGAAGGTCAAGGCACACGCCGACAAGAAGCTCGGCGATGTCAAGGTTGAAAATGCGCTCGGTGGCATGAGGTATGACCCCTATTCATATCTAGAGGCGCGCTCTAACATGACTGAAGGGGTCTCAAGGCCATGGTTTGGGAAGGCTCAGTCCTCGATGCAAACGAGGGCATTCGATTCCACGGCAAGACCATCAAAGACTGCCAAAAGGAGCTGCCCAAGGGCACTTCCGGCACCGAGATGCTTCCTGAGGCCATGTTCTGGTTGCTCCTCACAGGCGAAGTGCCATCAGTATCACAAACTCGCGCACTCTCGCGGGAGCTCGCCGAGAAGGGCCAGATCCCCAAGTTCGTCCAGAAGATGCTGGACGACTTCCCCAAAGATCTCCACCCGATGACACAGTTCGCATGCGCCGTCTCAGCACTGAACTACGAGTCTAAGTTCGCGAAAGCCTACGAGAAAGGTATCAACAAGGCCGATTACTGGGAGCCTACCTTCGACGACTGCATCAGCCTGCTCGCTAAACTGCCTACCATCGCCGCGAAGATCTACCAGAACGCATACCGCGGTGGAGGCGCTCTCCCGAACGAGATCGACCTGAACCAAGATTGGTCGTACAACTTCGCTGCCATGTTGGGCAAGCCAGGCAAGGAGAACGAGGGCTTCCAAGACCTTCTCCGGCTGTACCTCGCTCTACACGGTGACCACGAGGGTGGTAACGTCTCGGCGCACGCAACACACTTGGTTGGATCTGCGCTCAGCGATCCTTTCCTGAGTTACAGTGCTGGTCTTCAAGGACTCGCAGGACCTCTGCACGGTCTGGCTGCGCAGGAGGTGCTGCGTTTCATCCTCGACATGCAGAAGGTTGTTGGTGAGAAGTTCACCGAGAAGGATGTAAACGAGTTCCTCTGGAGCGTTCTCAAGTCTGGACGTGTTATTCCTGGTTACGGACACGCTGTGCTCAGGAAGCCCGACCCGCGATTCGAAGCTCTCATGGACTTTGCCAACGCACGACCCGAGATTGCGGCAGACCCTGTTTACCAGCTGGTTAAGAAGAACTCGGAGGTTGCGCCGGATGTCCTCAAGGAGCACGGAAAGGTGAGATGGAATATTTTGATCAACTCGGATCATTGCTGACTTGTTTGTAGACCAAGAACCCCTTCCCGAACGTCGACTCTTCGTCCGGTGTTCTCTTCCACCACTTCGGCTTCAAAGAGACGCTCTACTACACAGCGACCTTCGGCGTCAGCCGTGGTCTGGGCCCGCTCGCACAGCTGATTTGGGACAGGGCACTGGGTCTTCCCATCGAGCGACCCAAGTCGATCAACCTGCAGGGCATACTGGACCAGGTCGGCGCATAAGCGTCGAAGGTCATAGGCTTGTTGGAGAGGATGTGAAGTTGAAAGTGACGAACCCAATGGTTAGGAAATGTAGCCATGAATTCAAACATCTATGCAAACAATATCAGCGTGGTTTGGTGAAGGGTGGATGATGCGCAATCAGAAGGCCCGCCTGGACGCAAGCGCGGGCGGGAGTCGACCCACGAGATCGGCACCTAGTCAGGGACGAGACGCCATCGCGCGCAAGCCAGCCCGGTGAAACATTCGCCTTGAACCACGACGCTCGCTGTGTACGCTGTGTCTTCTGTCCTACAGACATATCTTAGCATCCTCTTTGCTCGATCCATCACTCCCTCGTGATTGCCGGATTATCGCATTCAATGCTAGCCTCAACATCATAGAGCTCAACGCTCGCGCCGTCATCGATAGCCTAGCCGTTTGAGCCGCGAACGACACAACACCGCCCGCCTCTTCCTTTAAAGCAGGCCCCGGCTCCGACCAAGATGCCGCCCTACGAAGTTCACGAAATGCGCCGTGGCAAGTACGCCAAGCTCGACAACCCCGTCGACGACGATGTCGAGACCCCGACGCGCTTCTCCTCCGAATCCAACGGGACGCTAGAAGATCTCGAAGAACACGACCCACTCGCATTCGACAGCAAGATCAGGCGCAAGAAGAGCGCCGGCGATCTCAAGGTCCGGAAGGCGTCCTACAGAGACACCGAGGACGCGGCGCCATTCCCCATACAGCAAAGGAAGTCGCGGTGTGCGCCAGGACGGTGCTGCTGCTGGCTGCTGGTCTTTGTCGCCGCCACCGTCTTGATACTCGCCTCGGGTGGCATATGGGCATACAAGGTCTCGGTGCCTGAGGATGGGCTGAGTCCGCCGTGGTACCCCTCGCCAAAGGGTGGCACCGACAAGGCATGGGAGGACAGCTACAAGAGGGCTGCGGACCTGGTCAAGCAGATGACGCTGCCTGAGAAGGTCAACATCACAACAGGCACAGGCTGGAGCATGGATCTCTGCGTCGGCCAGACTGGGCGCGTAGACAGGCTGAAGTTCCCCAGCTTGTGTCTACAGGTACGTACACTCCGCATGTCTTCAGGACTGGACTAATGTGTTCAGGACGGCCCACTGGGTATTCGATTCGCCGACAACATCACCGCATTCCCTGCCGGTATCACCACCGGCGCGACCTGGTCCAAGGAACTCATGTACCTACGCGGAAAGGCCCACGGCCAAGAAGCACGCCTCAAGGGCGTGAACGTCCTGCTGGGTCCTGCCATGGGTCCTCTCGGGAGAATGCCAGCTGGTGGTCGCGTCTGGGAGGGTTTCGGCTCAGACCCCGTTCTACAGGGCATTGCAGCTGCCCAAACCATCAAGGGCATCCAGGAGGAGGGCGTCATGGCTACCGCGAAGCATTATGTCGCTAACGAACAAGAGCACTTCAGACAAGCATGGGAGTGGGGCCTTCCGAACGCGATATCGAGCAACATCGACGACCGCACACTACACGAGATCTACGCATGGCCCTTCGCCGACTCTGTCAAAGCTGGAGTGACCAGCGTCATGTGTTCGTACAACCAGGTCAATTCAAGCTATGCCTGCCAAAACTCCAAGCTGCTCAACGGTGTCCTGAAGGATGAGCTTGGTTTCCAGGGCTTTATTCAGAGTGACTGGTTAGCACAGCGTTCAGGCGTGGCCAGTGCCCTTGCGGGCTTGGACATGACCATGCCTGGAGATGGCTTGAGATGGGCCAAGGGCAACAGCCTATGGGGTCCTGAGCTCACCCGTGCGATTCTCAACGGAAGCGTGCCAATCGATCGTGTCGACGATATGGTTACTCGCATCGTGGCATCTTGGTATCAGGTTGGCCAGGACAAGTGGGAAAACGACGGACCAAACTTCTCTTCCTGGACCAACGACAGGATCGGCAAGCTTCACGAGGGCAGCCCATCGGACCACGAAACAGGCATCGTAAACCAGTACGTCAACGCACAAGGAGAAGGGAAAGAAGCCCATGGACACCTAGTACGTCGCGTCGCCGCCGAAGGTACCGTTCTTGTGAAGAACGAGGGCAAGATGCTGCCTCTGGACCGAAAGGGCTGGAAGACTGGCGGCAAGGCCAAGACAAAGTTCCGTGTTGGTGTCTTTGGTGAAGATGCACGTCTCCCTCATGAGGGAATCAACCACTGCCCTGATCAGAGCTGCAACGAAGGTACATTGGCCTCGGGATGGGGTTCTGGCGCGGTCAACTTCTCGTATCTAGTGGAGCCCATGTCCGCTATTCGAGACGCGTTCGACAACGAGACTGTTTACGTCACCGATTGGCTAGAAAACAAGCTGCCTAGCCAGAAGGAGATTCTCGTCGATCAGGACCTCTGCATTGTCTTCGCCAACGCCGACGCCGGAGAGGGCTACCAGCACTATGAAGGCATTCGTGGTGACAGGAATGACCTTAATCTGCAAAAGGGCGGCGACAAGCTAATTCAGGATGTTGCTAAAGATTGCGGAGAAGGCATGGGCGATGTGGTGGTTGTCATCCATACTGTTGGACCTGTCATCCTGGAGAAGTTCATCGACATCATGAATGTCAGAGCCGTCATTATCGCCAATCTTCCCGGTACCGAATCTGGTAACGCCATCGTAGACGTACTCTTCGGTGACGTCAACCCATCTGGACGTCTACCTTACACAATCGCCAAGAAGGAAGACGACTACGGCCCAGGCAGCAAGATCAAGTATCTTCCCACCCCAAAGGATGGTCTGGCGCCTCAGCAGGACTTCTCCGAAGGCCTCTACATAGACTACCGTCACTTTGACAAGAAGGACATCGCCCCGCGATACGAGTTCGGCTACGGTCTTTCGTACACCGACTTCAAGCTGTCCTCTCTCCTCATCGAAGAAAAGGGTGCTAAAACACCTCTTCCCAAGCCTCGACCTGACGGCCTGACTCCACCAAGCTATTCTACCGACCTACCAGATCCCAAATCTGTACTGTTCCCTGAGGGCTTCAACCAAGTCGAGCGATTCATCTACCCATGGCTAGATTCCGTAAAGGGTATCAAGAAATCCGACCCCATAACCCCCGCACCACCATCTCCTCTAAGCCAGGCAGGCGGTGGCCCAGGCGGCAACCCCGATCTCTACACCACGCTCTTGACTGTATCAGCGTCACTAGAAAACGCCGGACCCGTCGACGGCGCATCAGTAGTGCAGCTCTACATTTCTTTCCCGCAAAACTACAAGGACCACGAGACGGGTGAGCCCGTCGACTTCCCTGTTCGCGTGCTGCGCGGCTTTGAGAAGATCCACCTTGAAAAGAATGCAGGCAAGCTGGTGCAGTTTGATGTGACGAGAAGGGATTTGAGTTATTGGGATGTCAAGAGGCAGAATTGGGTGCTGCCTAATGGCGAATTTGGTATTAGTGTGGGTTTCTCAAGCCGAGATCTGCCGCTGGAGGGGAAGTGGTGAGCTGGTATTTTATTGGATAGAGGGGCAATTGGTCTGGTGTTGGGTGTTATATTTTGTTGGTTGCTGATATCCCATATATACAATCTGTCTATTGCTGCTCACACTACCAACTACACTGCAACGATATCTAGTGATTACTCAACTCTTCTTTTCGAGGCAAGCTCATAGCTCACTCTTTCCCGGGCCATCTTGTCCTTCCATCGGTCTGCGCCCTCTGGCAAACAAGATCGTGCGCCACAGCTTCTTGCCACCGAATTCCATGTAGTTCTTCTCTTTCATCGTGATGACATCCACATCCACGAACCCAGCTTCCGCGAAGAACTGCTTTACGCCATCGATAGTAAAGTGCGGAACCACTATCGAGGCGTTCATCTTCTGGCGGAACTCAGGGTTACTCTCGCCAACGTCATGCTTGTTCTCAGCATCATGGTGGTGATGATGCCCGTGGTGATGCCCATGTCCATGTCCATGAGACCCAGAACCCTTCCCTTCCCCATGACCATGATGATGTCCATGACCATGAACAGCATGATTCCCCTCGCTCCCCTCAATCATACTCCCATCTTCCCCCGCCAAAAGATCTCCTCCCTCCAAGAAATCATTAATAACCAACACACCGCCCGGCCTCAACCTCTCCTTCAACTGCCTTGCCGCAAACACCACATCCTCAAAATGATGGAATCCAAATCCTACAGTCGCGATGTCGAAATCCCAAAACCTCTCCCCGGAAAGGGCTTCAGGATTTGGATCAGACTTGTCGAAAAGGTGGCCGACAACGGCATTGACTACATCTTCGGAAATTCCGGCGTCGCGGGCGCGCGTGTTGTAGGTGGAGACCATGTTGGGTGATATGTCGATGCCTTGGGTGGAGGTGACGTAGGGTCCGAAGACGCGGGTCATGAGGCCGGTTCCGCATGCGTAGTCTAGAAGGCGGACTGGTTGAGTGGTGGAATCTGTGAAGGGTATGCCTACCCAGGATAGGTCAGAGCGGAGGGTAGTGGCGACTCGGTCGTTGACGACTTTGAACCAAGGCTTACTGTCGTAGGAGTCGGATATGGCACTGTGATACGTTTAGTATGGCTTTACGTTTCTGGATTTTAGGAGGTGTCGCATACTCGAAGTACCGGCGGTTGGCTTCCGCGTAGCTCATCTTGGATGGTGGGTTATGGTGAGGGGTAATTCTGGGGGTTTAGTAATGGTGATGCGGTCTTGATGGGTATGTAGAATATTTCGAAGGTGTGAGAGATAGTAATTGGAAATTTTGGAGAAGATCCAATGTTCCTTTTGTATGTTGAAGATAGTTGCGAAGATGGAAGCAAAGTCGCCGATCTCCAGGGCTACATCGGAGACATATGTACGCTAAGCCTCTATTGGTGGAGCATCACCAAAATGGATTGGGAAACACGCATTTTCCGGCATCATGTTACTGCGCTTGATAGAACTTGGAGAGAACCATGGCTCTCTAGGGTCACGTATAGGAACAAGGCTGTTTAATCTTCCGAATGTCGCTCATCCTCCGATTGAGGCGTGGAGACTAGTCTCCGGAGACATTATCATCTGGCTCCATAACGTACAGAGATGCAGCGACTGATCGTAAACTAGAACTCGCCGTCATGATAGACGGAAGATGAGTCATATTTACATACGCTAGACTAGAATTCTTGCTGTCATGAGGACAGGCATTCTCGTCGACGCGCATGTTTCTGTAATGTGTGGAGTCGTATTAAGAGAACATCTCTGTCATAGTACCCATATCCTCTTCTCTTGTTGAATGAGTATCTTCTCGAGAGACATGGTTTTGCAGAGCTTGCTGCCGTGCAAGGCCTTCTTCTCTTTTCCGTCGCTTCCTGACATCTGCATCTTCCCAGTCTGGCTTGGATCCACCTTTTGCTGTCGAGAGCTTCGGTTCGTACGTCTCCAAGAGGGCCTTGCGAAACCGGCTTATGCGATCGAAGTTGATATTGAATCGCTCGTTTGCGATGTTTACTAGTGTTCGTAGATACCGCTCGTCTATCAGGGCAACATCACGGCCATCACCATCTTGATACCCAATGATGGAGTCGAATGAATAACCAGCTGACCGGACAGCCACCATGGGGTTTGACTCTGCTGTCTTCGCTGAACCTAGACTCACGGCGCCACTCTCACGGAACCCGGCAGCTAAGGCAGCAGTGAGGACACCTTGGGCATGATCCATTGATGCACTCAGGACGTGGAGTATCTGTGCCACGTTAGACCATGTCAACGTGCTATGACGACTGAATATACCATAGGTTCAAATTTAAGATGAATGTACCTGCTGGACACGCTAGGTGTTTCCTCCGTTGCTTCAGCCTTCTCCAAGCCAAACTTTGACATGAGGTCACCTGTTGCTTCGTCTCGCCTAAGTGGCGTGTGTGAGATGAACAGCCATGCACCCCCACCACCTTTTCCTCCTGGCCCAGCGCGTGAAGTCTCACGCTCAGGCAATTCTTCTGGTACTTCGTTGTCTGCTTTGCGTCCTTCCAAAAACACGCTGATGCGCCCCGAACAGCTGCTAGTGGTGACTAGTCCTGGAAGACTGTTGATCTCGCCGATTAAATCTCGGATGGGCGCATCGACGGACCCTTTTGGCGATAGATCGTGATACTCGCCATCCGGAGCATCGAGTTGTTCCAAGATCTTTTGCTTGCGAGCTTCGAAGCGTGTCGGCATGTCAGTCGGGCGTGCTTTCTGGCTGGGGTGGAAACGTGACAACGCGCTGTATTTTCGCGTTCGAGTGCGTCATCGATGGTCTGTGCGCGCGTCATCTTTCAAGCAGCCACGAAAGCGCCTACAATGACAACTGAGTATCACGCCTATCACTTTCCCAAATCGCATCAACCGACACCATGCCGCGTAAAGCCACTAAAAGTGCAAGTGCTTCAGCCCCCAGGAGCAATTCTAAACGTCCTGCACCGGAGGTTCCAGCACGGCAGTCTAAGAGAGCACGGGCTACCGCAAGGAAGTCTTATGTCGAGCCTGAGAGCGACACGGATAGCGACGGGAACAAACCCAAGGCAGACGTCGCACCCGACGATGACGAGGATGACGTTGTAGCATCTGACTACGAGGAACATAGCGACAAGGATCCATCGTCAGAATCCGAGCACGATGAAACCGCCAGTGACGACGAACCTGAGGACAAGCGAGCAGCTCCCAGAGGGCGCGGAACCAAGAGCCTTGCCATACACAAGAAGGCCGCTGACGAGAAAGAGCTATGGAAACCCGGCGCGAAGCTTGCACCAGGAACACAACTGATCATCAAGAAACCAAAGGCTCGAGATGCAGGCGACACGCCGTACTTGGATCACACAATCCACCCGAATACTATGCTGTTCCTTAAGGACTTGACGGCTAATAACGACCGCCAATGGCTGAAGCGTGAGTGATTAGTTTTTACGTTTCATGTCAAACGGCACGATCGGACCGCTAGCTGACGTCTATATCGTAGTCCATGACCCTGACTTTAGAGTTTCATTCCAAGATTTTACCACTTTTGCGGAGAAGGTATCCGAGAAGATCATCGAGGCAGACGAGACCATCCCAGAGTTGCCTGTCAAAGATGTAGTAAGTGTTTCCGATTGGATTGCCGTAGTACGATTTACTAAAACACGTAGATCTACCGGATTTACAGAGGTGAGCCCGAAGTATAGTCTCAACTGGATTATGCTCACAGTAGAAAGACATTCGGTTCTCGAAAGACCCAACCCCGTACAAGGTGAGTGGATACGTCGAACTTGCACGCTAGGGTGGGGTCATGTCCTTGAAGCTGTGTCACGAAGTCGAGAGACACAGCATGCTGCCAAATCATTATGGCGCTTTGGCATATGCTCTGTGACCCGACGAATAGCTTCAGCATGATGCCCTTTCATGGCTACATGCAAAGCAGGCTGACCTGATCCAGACTTACTTTTCTGCGGCCTGGTCAAGAACTGTAAGTCACGCATGGGTACAAGCTTATGTGAGCCCCACACTGACATTGTATACGACGTGCAGGGACGCAAGGGACCTTACGCACACTACTACATCCAGGTGCAACCCAATGGTGGTAGCTTCGTAGGTATGTTCGATTCTCCTCTCTTCGTCTTCGCGGAGACACCCGAGCCGCGAGCTGTCGTGGAACTCAAGCGCCGTGCGGAGTGACCTCGTGGCCACCGCATTGCTTCTTTCGACTTCATGTGCATGGAGTATGCAAGTGTACCCAATGCTCGTCACCACGACAGCTGCTGCGAGCCTCGGCTCTACAGCGACTCTTGTCGTGTGGTCGACCTTGCACTCCTGACCATGTGTCGCATTATACGACTGCCGGCTCGGAGACGACAATGCATCGCCATGTGGTGGGATTGACCGATCCGACCAGCGCTGCACGTTATGGCCATGCGGGGAATATTGACGGTCACCATGCCACAATTGAACCCATGTGACTATGCCTCGTCGGACAGCGTAGGGCAACATCTTGTCTTCTCGGTGGTACCGCGCGGTATCCGGGAGGTAACGTATCGAACCGTTTGAGGGTTTGGCAGCGTGCAGCGAGGTGTCGTCGGGATGGTGCACTGATCTGATGCACGTCAGTGTATATCCATTCTGCCTATGCAAGCGGCATCATAGTCAGCGGCGCGTCAATGGCTCATTGATATCCTTTCTTACACGAGAATGCGCTGACTTTGGAAGGTGGTGGCTTCTGGCAGCCTGACGCGTCGACTCTGGCCAAACTACGACGCGACATTGATCGCAAACCGCACAAGATCAAGGCCGTACTAACGGACTCTGGTATTCGAGAGGCTTTCCTGGGTGGAGTCAAAGATGACGAGAAGAAGGCTGTGAAAGCTTTCACGAGCCTGTCGATGAATCAGTCGAATGCTCTGAAACGCAACCCAAAGGTATGCAACATCTGTTCAATCCATCCCTTGAGACAGCAGGGTATCAGCAGACAGCTCTCGTGTCATTAAGCATGAAATATGCTTCTGAAACACCATGGTCACGACGTTTTCTCACAACCAGAGTCGATTTTTGCAAGGTCTGGCAACGGCTTTGCCGCGATCGGGTACTGTCCGCCGCCTGACACGGTTCAACACCAAAACTAGCACGGAAGCTCCCCGCCTACAAGGATGTATCTCCATGAAACTCTTCCGCTACACCATCTCGCGAACGGCACACGATGACGATGACGTGCAATTAGCTTCAGTCTCGTACTGGAAGGTTGTGCGTTACAACTGTGTGCCGTCTGGCAAATAGAGTTTCAAGTCGCCCCGCACTCAACAAGTTGAGCTGAGTTGGAGTAGTCATGGCTAGCACCCTTTGAGTAGGCGGGGTTCTCTGCTCGCACCAGTCTGCAAGAGCCCAGTCGCGGGGATTATGATGAACAAACTTCAAACTTCAAACTCACTGCAGCTGTTCATGTTTGCTGACACCTCTCCAGGGATATGACCATGACCACAAAGATATCGAACTCATGCGGCTCCGCAACTACACTATGGGGCGGAAGCTCGCAGACGATGAAATTGTTGGTTCTGGGGGCTTGGAGCGAGTGGGTGAACTCATTGCCAGTATGGTACCCTTTGTAAGTCTATCCTTTCATACTCTTGACATGAACGGCCTCACGTTCCCATTGGACAAGAAAAGATAAGAGCGGCGGCAACTTGTTAGGGAAGTGCCTGTACGGTGCAAGCGATGGGGTGACTATAGTGCCGGCCAGTAGTGCGTTGGCAATGCAGTCACCCGCCCATCGTAAAATCCTTCAGGTGTGAAGGACGACCACAGCAATCTCCCGGGAGGCGTTGCACACAAGGCCGCTAACAACCGTGGCAGATCACGTATCTGAACAGCATCGCGATGCCCGACGACGACACGTCAGACTCGAGCGAGGACGAAGGAAGCGGTGCCGAGCCCGACGATGACAGCAACGCCGCAGAGGATGACGAGGCTTGATGAGAGCAATTTCAACAACGCATGTTCGAGGCACGGTGCTTCGAGCCGAAGTCATTTAGATGCACACATTGGTGGGAGCGTGGAGGAGTGGGCCACGCAAGCGCAAAGACCGCCAATAGACGCTGGTGTAACCCTGCCACGGTGGCGCTGACTGGTTGACACAACCGATGCCATGCAACAGACTAAGTCATCGTGCAGCATTAGCTCCAGCACGAGCGGATAACTGGGATCAACATGCAGCGCTAGTAGGTCACGGGAGCACTTATGCCAAATGCAGTATCCTCGGTCTTATGATGGGCCTTGTTCATTTCGGATCTAGCTTCCTCGTACCCTGGCCCCCTCTTAAAGCTACGCTCAGACGCGGGCCTGCCGTCTTTCTTAGCGGCTTTTCCCTGGCTAAACGAACGAGGGGAGGCAGTGCACAGTGCTCACTCTCCCTCTCTTCGATCACGACGCAGTATAGATGGCTGACCGCATCGATGCCAGATTCTCGCCATGACATTGCAGCAGGGGATTTGCCAGGGTGTGCAGCTATCGCTTCATATAATCGCCAGGCCCCGATCAGCTGGCCTCCCCACTATCCATTTTGGCACAGTGACATGCTGCACACGTTGCGTTAGTCTATACACGGCTACGGCTCGGGGCGCACTCGTTGTCCGTCTGGGATGCATGGGTTTACGCCCTAACGCGTCTGATCGAGGCCAGCTGCATCTCATGACGAAGGCTTCAGCGAATCTTTACCGGCGCCGTGAGTAGCTGGCGGTTAGTTGCTGCATCGCTCAGCGTCATGCACTCATAAGAAGCGGAAAGTTGAGCGGCTTACGCTGTTGGGCTGCGCTTGACGTGGTGTAAGCATGACGCCAGCATCTCCAACGCCAAACCTTCAGAATTTCAATGCGAGCTGTGGTCCTTCTACGGCGCGATTTTGCATCGCACAGTGCATTCCAGTTGAATAACGAGGCTTTGAGGAGCTTCAGAATGCCTTCAAAAGGCGGTGTGGTTATAAGGCAACTCGTTGTGTCTATTGAATCCCACCGTCCATCACACCGATGAGCTGCAGATATTTCTTTCTTCCGCGAATTAGCACGCTTCGGGCTGATCCATCGACCCGCAATGGCTTGCGTCCGCTTATCCACCCCTTCCGCGTCTCTAGATGATATTTACCGGCGTTTGTGACACAGCTGGATCTCGCAAAGCCAAAACGTGTCGCCTTGCCCTTCTCGGCCTTCCGCCGGGTTCGGTAAGGCGAGCCTACACCGTCGTCTGCCCGAAGATGAGGCGGACGAGCGCTGGGGTAGAGAACGGAGATGGGATACCGCTTATCCGACAGGATGTCGTCCCTCACACCACTACTGCAAGGACGGAAACTCGTTTGTTGGAGCATCAGCAACATGCGGTACTGCGGCGCATCAAAAGTATTGTCAGGATGCAAAGGAATGCGTGTACACCGATGCAACGCCATCACCAGACTGACCACGCCTCTATCGCACCAGCACACCTTGACAGATCGGTGAGGTTGTTTGTTTTGCACTGGCCACGGACGCGCTGTGGAAGCATTGCCCGCGTTCTTTATGCCTGTCAGACACTAGAACGGTGCCACGGGCGAGGCATCGTCTCGGAGGCTTGACGATATCTTCCCGCCTGATATATCTGAATCTGGTTTTACCTGCAGATTGGCGGTACACAAAATGCGGCACAAGCGACATGGCCCTTTTGCGCTGCTTACGGTGACACGAATGGGTAGACTCCGCAATCTCCAGCTATGCTATGCATATTGCGGGAAGGCTTCGGTGACACAAACTTCGTTAATCTAATTATCAACGGGACACACGCGGGAATTCCACATCTCGTCCCGAGCCGCGAATACACCTGGTTCCAATTGAGCCAGCTCCCACCGTCCACGCGCGGCGTCGCAATCTCCATGGCCACCACCATGGCTGAGCATCGCTTACCGTCTGCACTGCAGTGGTGATGGACGTTGCGCGGCTATTTGCTTGGGTGAATCGACCGAGGCGGCTGAAGATCACGTCCAGAACAGATCCTGGTTGATCTACCCCACAATCCGCTCACTTGGTGTAACCGTCATCAGCGGCATTCAACGGCACTTTTTCAATGTGCAGCACAAGGCTGCTGTCCTTGATTGTCGGCCAAGTCAAGGATGATGCTCCTTGGACTGATGGTTTCAGACGAATATAGTCGCAGACAAATGACTGCATTGGGCCTCATCTATCACGCGCTCGTGACTGACTCGAAAGGGCGAAATACGGTGTGGCAGTCAATCAAATTACAACAATTATTAAAAGCGATTGGCTGCAAGCGGTCATCCCGCTGAATACGGTGCCAATGAGTGAAAACGGCACTGTGGCCGGGACGACGGCTTTGACCGGTAGACACGTCTTGTGACTGCAGCAAGGTTTTTTGTCGTGCTCGATAGGATTTACCCGTCGAGCAGCAGCTGCAAGGCACATGCCAGCTGGAATGCTGAGATTTGCCCAAGTAAGTTGAATGCTAGGCAAGGGACGTGCTGATTGGTCGATTAAATTTGACCGAGACCTGGACGGTGGAAAACTAAGCTTGAGAGAGTGCGGGCCGTCCGCCCTAATCTCGAGGCAAGAGACACAGGACGAGGTGCTTAGGCAAGCATGGATAGCAATGAACTACTGCTGACTATTCTTTGTTCCAGGTGTGGGCGTCGTCACGTATATGCAGTCAGGTGAAAATAGGCCGGCGAGGAGCCGAGGCTGAAAGCGCCCTGGGCGTTTCGCGATTCTCCATGCCACCGTGCCTACATCCGCACAAGTCCGAGATTCGTCACCAGCGGGACTTGCGGCACCGCCACTACCAAAGAATGGGCACAAGTGCCGTCGAATTCTTTGTATCGGTTTGTCTCGACTATTGTGGAGGCGTCGAATCAGCAGCGCGAGGAAGTGTTTTGCCATGGGCACCAGTTCGCAAGCCTTCGCCGGCGCAAGGGATGAACGGTTTGCCAAATTGTGGATGTCAGATTGAGAGGCGTGATTCGAGGACGAAAGTGGGCTGCGTCGCATGCCGGCCGTCTTACACGAAGCAATAGCAGCTGAGAGAGACGATGTCGGACGGTTTCTTCACAGGCAAGACTGGCCAGAATCGGCTCTATGACCAAGCAGCTTGCGCGTGAAGGCGAAAAAGAGCAGCAGCTGCGCTCAACGAACGGTTCTCCCGGCGCAAGATATCGG